ATTAATGTCATTACTAATGATGGAAATATGGCAGTATCTCATGTTTTTTATTTGAACAAATTTATTTCAATTAATTGAATTATGTGATCAGTTGAATGAAAAATTCTCTTATTAAATTTGATTGTAATACTAATTGCATAATAAGTCACTTAATATGTTTCATTGGTAAAATTCTCTTAATGATGAATTAGTAAGCAATNATGTCATTACTAATGATGGAAATATGGCAGTATCTCATGTTTTTTATTTGAAAAAATTTATTTCAATTAATTGAATTATGTGATCAGTTGAATGAAAAATTCTCTTATTAAATTTGATTGTAATACTAATTGCATAATAAGTCACTTAATATGTTTCATTGGTAAAATTCTCTTAATGATGAATTAGTAAGCAATAATTATTTACAGATTTATTAACTGTTATTTACAGGGGTTACTGTGAAACTTTTTCAATACAAGAAAACCATTCGTGATGAATTAAAGTGTTTTTTCTTTTTTTATAATAAACTTTATATGACACATTATGCATAAACAAATTTCATTAATCTCCCTTAATCTAAATGAGACAAACCCTCTTTCTAATAGTAACAAAGGAACTTTCTAGAGAAGCACTTCGTGCAATGATTTACTATGGTTTTTGTGATAGTGTGGTAGTTTATTATGTGATGTGATGTTGCCAGCGAAGGAAACATACGAACAAAAGGAAAGGCACATGACAACTTCTTAGGTTACACAATCCTTTCTTTATTCACAATGAATGGGTTAGATTCTAAAGAATTCCAACTGTTCTTGTAAAACTTTACAAAATTTGAAGTGCATCATGTTGAGATTTTTTTTTTTGTTGGGTTTTCATACAATTCAGGAATATAACTTTCCCACAGAATAGTCATGTAACCAGTGGCGTAGCGTGGGTGTCAGCCACCCGGGGCAGAGGAAAATTTTGCCCCCTCTTATTTAGGTATCTCAATTTAAAAGACTAAAATTCAGTTTTGTCACAGAATAAGTAATGAAAAATTCCGTGCTAGTGTTGCCACCTTATTAAAATCGCTGACCCGGACGGCAGGTGATGTTTGTTCGAATAGAAGTTCCTGATGCATGTGTATGTCATTTTGCAATGTGAAGAATAATGTGCAATGTATGCTGGTTCTAAATCAGTTACAGTTAGCAACTAGGAAGACTTGGATAGGAGTAATGCAAGTGACCTAGCTGTATTGGATGTGGTAGGTGTACGAATAAATTGTACAAGCAAAAAGAAAATGGTCAACAGGTTTCACACGATATCCCTGGACGGCGAGTCGATTCCCGGACTATCCGGATGGATGGTAACACTATTCCATGCTCATTTCAATCAGTCTGAGTTGTAGGTGGATAAAATATGAAATAAATGGTTCAAATTCTTACAAGATATTATTATTATTTATTGTGAAATTTTGCTGTCCCCTAAAACGTAATTTTGCAGCCCCCTAAAAAGTGCTGCCCAGGGTGGGCCGCCCCTGCGCCCCCACTATGCTACGCTACTGCATGTAACAATTTTCTTAGCCTAACAGCATATGTAAATCTTACTTAACTAACTCTTAAACTACCTTAAAATTAACTTAACCTAAAGAGAGAAATAGGGATATGAAAGCGAGGAATGAGGAAGAATGGAAGTCTACAGTCACCCGGGATTTGTTCTTTTGTCTGCACCGATATACTCTTTGGGTAGGAGTTCTTTTGGAGGTTATTGTACTTGCCATCTCGTTGATTTTTTTGCTGACCACAGGGTTTTCGATTTTCGAATTCTCTTCCCAATTCAATGCCTAAGTACAATCCTTCTTCTCGTACCAAACTATGCAATCTTCTCTGAGGTTCAAAAAACGTTTTCGAGCCTTGTATTAGTACAGATCTCCTTTCGTACCTCCTTTCTTAATGGTCTTTGTCCTCATGATCCTGTTGTCTAGATTTCCCTTCGACCTTCTTAACAATGTCTCTAACCCCTTCAGTCTCCAGTCCAAAAACTGACCAACTCGTTGGTTATTTTTCACCTGGTCATCCTACCTCCTATTGTTCTCCTCCTGTTCGTGGAATGGCTAATCCTATTCAAAAGCAATAACGGTCCAGAAAGTTCCAGGAACAGATAGAACAAGGAATGAAAAGGCAGAGAGCAATAAAAAATATCATATTTGCTGTTTTTTCAGTAGCACTGATCTGGCAAAAACAATTAAGTTTGATGAATAGAAGAAAGTAACGGCTAATTGATACAGTACAGGTTGTCTAACTAGAATTCTGGAGTAACTGAAAATCTGANAGCTAAAGTATTGTTGTAAGATCAGTATTGTTGTAAGATCAGTATTTTTAAATTATATTTTAAATAGTTTTAAGTTTTTTTTTAGTCCTTGTTTAAGCTCATTTTGTTGCTTAATTTATGGACATGTTACACACCTATGATTGAGTCAGAAGACCTTTATAATGTAGACATATTAATTATCTTTATTGATGCAAATGGAGCATATAAATTTAATTGTAGTGTCATATGTGTGGTATGCATTTCAAGGAAGATTAAATTTCACTCCCCTGTTCAGCTAATAATGACAGATATAAAATACTAAGGTATGTTAATGTGATAGTTTGTTATGTGATATGATGTTGCCCACAAAGAAAACGTACAAACAAAAGGAAAGGCACATGACAACTTCTAAGGTTACACAATCCTTTCTTTATTCACGACGACTTCTAAGGCACACGATAACTTCTAAAGTTACACAATCCTTTCTTTATTCATGACAAATGGGTTAGGTTCTAAAGAATTTCAACTGTTCTTGTAAAACTTTACAAAATTCGAGGTGCGTCACATCAGGATTTTTTTCTTTGTTGGGTTTTCATACAATTTAGGAATATAACTTTCTCATAGAATGTAACAATTTTCTTAGCCTAACTGAATACGTAAAATCTTACTTAACCCTTCGGTCTCCAGTTCAAAAACTGACCAACTCGTCAATCGTTTTTCACCCAGTCACCCTACTTCCTATTGTTCTCCTCCTGTTTGTGGAATGGCTAATACTACCTAAAGGCAATAACGGTCATCCCAGAAAGTTCCAGGAATGGATAGAAGAAAAAAATAGAGGAAATCACCGAAATAGGATAGAATTATGACTATATAAATATACAAGTTTTGATATGTACAAATACACTGCATATATATATATATATATATGGCCGACTGCCACAATAGACTGAATGACAAAAGCTGTTATAAATAATTGAAATTGGTTTTTGGGGAAGATGCTCCATCCTTTTCTATTGTTTTCAGATGGTACAAAAAATTTCATAGGTGTCATATTTCCTTCCAAGATGAACCATGTGAAGGGCAAGTGCAAACAGCAGTGACTCCTAAAAATGTAATAGCTGTCCAATGTATGATTTCAGAAGACCAAAGTTGTACATATGAAATGATACAAGAGAGACTACAGATTGGAGCCTTTGCAGCTATAGACATTCTGCATAAGTAGTTACAGTTAAAAAAGTAGTGTCTTGATGAGTTAACAGATTTCCAAAAGTCAGAGCATGTCAGAATCTCTAAGAAAATTCTGGAAATGTTGAACCAAAGTGGAAACCAGATTATTTCCAAGATTGTCACAGGTGATGAGACATACATACCATTTTATGACTGTCTCACATGTCAAGAAAGTTAGGTATGGATCCATAAAGATGATCCAATTCCAACAACTATGAAAAGGCAGAGAGCAATAAAAAATATCATATTTGCTGTTTTTTCAGTAGCACTGATCTGGCAAAAACAATTAAGTTTGATGAATAGAAGAAAGTAATGGCTAATTGATACAGTACAGGTTGTCTAACTAGAATTCTGGAGTAACTGAAAATCTGAGGTCAAATTTTGCATCATGATAATCCTTCATCACACACTGCCAAGAAGGCTAGTGATTTCCTTCAAGCCAACAATATAAGAATCATTCAACATCCACCATATTCACCAGAAATGGCATTGTGTGAATTCTGGCTATTTTTAATTTTAAAAAACATTTGAGGAGTTGAAAATTTTACACAGCGGATGAAATTGAAGCTTCCTTAACAGAGTATTTTGATAGCATTCCAGAAAATGAGTGATGTTGTGCTTTTGATCTTTGGAAGGAGCAACTACATAAGTGCATTTTGGCCAGAGGAAAGTACTTTGAATATAAATAAAAAATATTTTGTTTTAGGCCTTATAGTGTTCCTGTATTGCAAAACTTTCGGAGTCACCCTTGTATTTACCCTTGTATTTATAAATTCCCACTGTTGTCTATCTATCTGTCTTTTCTTAATTTCGAGAACAGAGTTAGATAGATGAAAGATGAACCTATATATGGAAACCTTAGGGACAGAATGCCCCATTTTTCCTATATATAAACTTCCAATGCAAACTGGAAGTCATGTTATTTCAATTCAAAAATTTTCCCCTGAAAGGAGTTAGATAATAGATGATGGACACAACTCAATTGCTAAAGGAAAAGTATGATGTACAGGGCAGGCCAATACAAATTTGATGTGGAGAGCATATATTTTAAATTAAATGAATTAAAAATATGATTAAAAATTGCAGCCCTGAATTGTGACAATGACACAATAAGTAATTGCATTAGCAATTAAGCATTTGTTGTTGTTTAAAAATTATTATTTTGTGTAGAATTAATTACACTTGATGCTTAATTAAATTTGTTTCAACTGAAAATATTTTGTAAAATGCTGAATTATTAGAGATGTAAGTTAATTAATTTAAATTAGATATAAATTTAACGTTAACATCTAAATCTTTTTAAAATATTCAAATACCTTAGTATTTCCAGCAAAAAAGTATTTAATAAAAAAACCATTGTATTTTTTATTAAATACTTCATTGCTGGAAATACTAAGGTGTTTGATTATTTTAAGTATTTATATTCCAGTAAGTTATTTTTTATTTTATTTTAAATCTTTTTATGCATTTCTAATATTAAATTATAATTTTCAATTTTTATCATTTAGGTATTTAATTTATCGGAAAGAAGACATGATTTAATTAAACTTAATCCTCAGGTATCATATATTTTTATTTTGTTTTTTCATAAATATAAAATTGTAGTTTTATTGTAAAATAATAAAATTAGTTGTTCTCATTATTCATTTTATTACATGTTGAATATTAATTAATAATAGACGATGATTAGCATTTAATTGATGACAAACAAACAAAACATGATATTTATATTATTGACAAAGAAACTTTGTGGAAATAATTAAACAAAATGTTTAATTCCAAATGATCTGCCAGATTGTATTGGACTATATTATAGCTATATTTAATAATTAGACAGGACAAATTACAAAACAGTGTCTGTCATTTCTCAAACATGCTGATGGCTGAAATATTAAATCTATGTAATGCTACAGTTTCCACCCTTACTATACCATGCATCTTTGTGTGAGAAGCCTGGGGTTAGATAATAAACTCTAAATCTTTTTGATTGGTGACAGATTGGTGAGATCTGCTGTCACTGGATGGCTTAAAATAATTTTGTCTCAAGATTGTTAGATCTTAAGGACTGTTTTTCCTGACACCAGTTAGGATAGTAAAAGTTTATGTCCTAACTCGCAATATAGATTAAATCTAAGCATTTCTAAAAACTAAGAGGGTATTAATTCTGATACAAATGGAGAATCACAAAGTCATGGGTAACTGAATAAGTGTCGAGTTTATAGAAGTCAAATAAAATTCTTATTATAACCAAACAATATATTTAATGATAATTANCTAATATTAAATTATAATTTTCAATTTTTATCATTTAGGTATTTAATTTATCGGAAAGAAGACATGATTTAATTAAACTTAATCCTCAGGTATCATATATTTTTATTTTGTTTTTTCATAAATATAAAATTGTAGTTTTATTGTAAAATAATAAAATTAGTTGTTCTCATTATTCATTTTATTACATGTTGAATATTAATTAATAATAGACGATGATTAGCATTTAATTGATGACAAACAAACAAAACATGATATTTATATTATTGACAAAGAAACTTTGTGGAAATAATTAAACAAAATGTTTAATTCCAAATGATCTGCCAGATTGTATTGGACTATATTATAGCTATATTTAATAATTAGACAGGACAAATTACAAAACAGTGTCTGTCATTTCTCAAACATGCTGATGGCTGAAATATTAAATCTATGTAATGCTACAGTTTCCACCCTTACTATACCATGCATCTTTGTGTGAGAAGCCTGGGGTTAGATAATAAACTCTAAATCTTTTTGATTGGTGACAGATTGGTGAGATCTGCTGTCACTGGATGGCTTAAAATAATTTTGTCTCAAGATTGTTAGATCTTAAGGACTGTTTTTCCTGACACCAGTTAGGATAGTAAAAGTTTATGTCCTAACTCGCAATATAGATTAAATCTAAGCATTTCTAAAAACTAAGAGGGTATTAATTCTGATACAAATGGAGAATCACAAAGTCATGGGTAACTGAATAAGTGTCGAGTTTATAGAAGTCAAATAAAATTCTTATTATAACCAAACAATATATTTAATGATAATTAAACAAAAGATGAAAATACAAAAATTAACATGACAACATTGGATTATCTATCTATAATTCTATATCTAGTGAGAGAGAGTTTACATTGATCTATCTATAAAATACCTCATAAATAATCTTCTTGAAATAACATTTGGACAAGTATTCGTTATGGCAGGCTGTCTATATTCTTTTGGGAATGTTTGTCTCTGATATGTCTATTGACTTGAGCGATCCGTGCACATATGGCGGTGATTATTTGGAAGAGAGGCAGATGATATATGGCACATAGACCAAAATATTTTGGAGATTGATGATGACTGCACTTCTTATGTGTCTCCTGTGTATGGAGAGGTCCACACAAAAATGGCAATTTCAACCCTTTTATTTGAAAATTCTCTCCAATCAGGGTCAGTATTTTGACCATCTGACAGGATGGCTAGATGAGTCATGCAGGCCAGAAGTCTTGTCATTTGTGATGATAACATTTCGCTCAGGAAGTGGATGACAAAAAAGGAAGTTCTTTTCCCTTGTTCACATCAAATTTTTATCATCAAAAAGTGGGAAACTTGTCACTTTTAACAACAAAATATTATACTGAGAATTAATTTTAAAAAATAATTCTATTCGTACATTCGAATTCTCACATCTGCATTCACAAAGGTACACAAACTAGGAAAGCAAATACAACCAGTGATGACAAGGCAATTCTTCAATGTTTGGCATTAAAAAAATCCTTAACAAATTTGTTACAAAAAAACCTCAATGCCTATGAACAAATGATAATCAGTTTGGAAATCCTAATAAAATATCTCTGTAATTTATCTATCCTTGAAGAACCATACTTCACTGTACATAAGGCTGGAATCTTGCTTCTGCAAGTTATGTAATTTCTTCTTTAACAACATACAGGGCATGAGCAAACACCATGCTAGTATTCTTGAATGAACTGACATGTCATTCTTCATTATTCCAATTTGGGAACATAACATATTTACAAATAAGAAGTGCGCCAATAGGCAGCACAAACTTGGGGACCTTATGTGAACTTGTGATACATCAACTAGAAATGTGAACATTATCATCATTCTAAGACCATATTCTGTTATACTTCAGATACATGAATGTTGTTGTTATCATTTGAAGATGAAAATTAAACCACAATGGGGTTTTTATTAAAATGCATTAAGAACTGCTAACTTAATGCATTTTACCCCTGATTGGAGAGAATTTTCAAATAAAAGGGTTGAAATTGCCATTTTTGTGTGGACCTCTCCATACACAGGAGACACATAAGAAGTGCAGTCATCATCAATCTCCAAAATATTTTGGTCTATGTGCCATATATCATCTGCCTCTCTTCCAAATAATCACCGCCATATGTGCACGGATCGCTCAAGTCAATAGACATACCAGAGACAAACATTCCCAAAAGAATATAGACAGCCTGCCATAACGAATACTTGTCCAAATGTTATTTCAAGAAGATTATTTATGAGGTATTTTATAGATAGATCAATGTAAACTCTCTCTCGCTAGATATAGAATTATAGATAGATAATCCAATGTTGTCATGTTAATTTTTGTATTTTCATCTTTTGTTTAATTATCATTAAATATATTGTTTGGTTATAATAAGAATTTTATTTGACTTCTATAAACTCGACACTTATTCAGTTACCCATGACTTTGTGATTCTCCATTCGTATCAGAATTAATACTATGTGCTCAACCTATGTGTGGAACAGAAAAGCTGTGAAACAGTTCACTTTCTGAACATTCTTATAAGATGATAAAATGGAAAAATTCTTACCAGTGTGTTCTGTAAACACACTGGTAAGAACACACAAGCCATATTATACACAAGCCATATTTTCATACCTACAGAATCACACAACTCTTTTTCCTTCAAATTAACAATTTCAGAGCTTTAATCAAAATAACCTTCATGCATTCATCCAACACAATTGACTGGGAGAAAAAACTCAACTACATCAATACACACAGATATGATGCAAAGATCATAGAAGGCTTAATACACCAACTATAATCTTCAAATTACAGCACAGGAACCATATTAAGCCTTTCAAAATGGTTAAATACATCAAGCAACTTTAGTCATACATAAGGAAATACAGAGCAAATAACTGTAGAATAGCTTATAAAAGAAGCCCTATGATCTAATCATTACTCAAGAATGNAAAGTATATGGAAAAATAAAAATCAAGTTTAAGTCATTTTATTCGACTTTACGTCTGTCCGCCACAAATATTGAAGTCGTAATATCACTAGAAAAATGTTTAAAGTACATAAAATCATATTAAAATATATACATTTACAAGTATGTACTGTATTTATAGTACATGCATTCATAAATTAAGATTACAATTTTCTGTACTATATTAAAAACTAAAATTTATTTGTTTGTAAGCTTAAAATAGATCCTCCATATTAAGCCTTTCAAAATGGTTAAATACATCAAGCAACTTTAGTCATACATAAGGAAATAGCCAGAGCAAATAACTGTAGAATAGCTTATAAAAGAAGCCCTATGATCTAATCATTACTCAAGAATGCTAAAGATCCAAAAAATCCTTAACATCTCTTTGAAGTCCACACCATCCTAGTATTGGGTAATAGAGTTGGTAGTGAGTTGGAATACATAGAAGCAGTGGCATGCTTCTTGAATATTTGTTTAAAAGAACATGAAGAATCCACTAAAAAGGACATTGCCACAAAGCTTTAGCAGTACAGGAACCTCACTTAATGAGCATAATTTGTTTCAGAATCTTACTCCTGATGCAAAACACTCATTAAGCAAAACAATTTTTTTCATATAAATTAATGTAAAATATGATAATGCATCCCATACTGAAAAAATATTCAAATATTTTATGTATAATGTTTATTCAAAGAAAATTACACAATATACATTGTTAAAAAGTGTGAATTATCATCATCTTTTCTTCTAGCATGGAATGAACCAACCTGGAATGCGAATTCGATTTGCAGAAAACAAAAAAAATCGCAGATAATATGTCTGATGAAGACGCCAAATGATATGCCAAATTTTTGGGCTATGTAAAAGCTATAATTAGATGTTAGAAATTAATTAATTTGACTAGAGGTAGACAGTTATGCTGCCATCTCATATTAAATTTAATAATAAATAATTAATTTTTAATTTAGACATTTTTAAAAATTTAATTTGGAATTTGTCATCAAATTTAGTATGAGTTGGCGTGTTTAATATATAATTGTCTATGATTGTTGATGTTTATATGTTATTTTTGTTCGACTTTTCTTGATGAAGGCCAATTAATGAGTGGCTGAAAACGTTTGAATGTTGAATTTGGATGTTTTGCTGGAAATTTGATGTTTAGGTGTGAATTCATTTTTAAACTTTATTTTTTTGAGCTCTAGGAAATTTCTTTAAATAAATAAATGTGCATTGTATATTATAATATACACAATATGTATTGTACATTGAATTAGTTTGATGTGCTTCCTTTGAAAATATTTACTATGTACCACACTAAAATATTTTTTATTAGTGTTTGGTTGTTCCTTCATATTTTATTATAATATTGAATATTATGCCAAATGATTGCCAGATTAAATTGGGCTTCTTTATCATTATTATTTTAAATTAAATTCTAAATAATTTGATACTAGAGGTAGGTGCTAGGTGCCATCTCTTATTAAATTTAATAGTTAGAATTAAATCAATATTTAAACCCACAACTCCCACTTACTATGCGGATGTGTTTCCAGCTATGCTATTACCCAATATTTAAACATTGGGCTTCAGGATGCTTAACTGTTGTGTATTTCATTGTATTTAAAAGATCTTATTTATGACAGAACATCCTAGATATATACTGTCTTTTAATTTGATATTTTTTAATTTATGCTTAACTATGTTTGCTTAACAAATAAACTACAATAGATCAATAAAATATTTATACAGTTTTATGTATAAAATCATTTTAAAATAGTTCTTTAAATAGCAGAAAGAGCTGTTGAAGTTAATGTGGATATAGGGAAAATGTGAAGAGTAATATAGTCATATAAATAATCATTCTTAACAATATAATAATAATTATTATTATTAATATTATTAATTATAACAAATTAATTGGATTTTCTGTTTTTATAAAGTTATGAAATTTATAAAAGTCTAAATGAATTGTTTAATTAGAGTTATTAAAACCTATTATAGAACAATTTTATTGAGAGATTAATATTTTTTCTTATGCTTTTGAAATTTTTGTTTTGGAATTGAGATTTAATTGTTATATATTTTATGTGTTAGAATTATAAGTTAAGCAGAAGTATTGAACAAATTGATTACTGAAAAGTTATATATAAAATCACTAGAAATCATTAAAAATTATTAAACTCTAGAATTTAAAATATCTCTAATTTTTTGTTCTCTTAATATTTAATTAGTAAAATAAATAAATAAATGAAGTTTAATGAAATTACTTTGATTGCAATAAACAAATTCTTAGTGATTCATTCATAAATATGTTTCTCTTATTTTAGTAAAACTTTTCTAAATATAAAATTTACTTTTTCTTTGCTATTCTATAAATAATATAATATATGTATTTTTCTGGGAAAATAAATTACTTTAAAATTATTACAGGTTTTAGATTTTGGATGGCCACAATATCTAGCACCCCCTTTAGAAAGACTATGTAGTATTTGTAAATCTCTTGATTCTTGGCTTTCTCAAGATCCCCAACACATTGCTGTTTTACACTCTAAGGTATGGATTACAATTTTATTTATGAAATTTTGTTAAATAATTAAAAATTCAAATATTATAATTGACTTAAAATAAATAATTTTAAAGAAACATCCTTTTATATATTACAAATAGGGCGATAAAGGAAGAACAGGAATAGTAATAGCAGCCTACATGCATTATAGTAATATCTGTGCAAGGTACTAAACTATAAATATTTACGTTTTAAATTACATGCAATTTATACACTTTAATAACTTTTTGTTATTATAAAAGAGAAATAATTATAATAATAAACTTATGTCTAGAATAGTTGTGTTTTCATTTTTTGATAACTTCAATATTTAAAAAATTTGAAATGAAAAATGTTCTCATATTAAGTAAGTCACATATCAGGAACTTCTGCAAGACTTGCTACCATTTTATAAGCATTGAGAAGACAATACACTATAAAGTTTGATCCTTACATGAAGAAAGCTTAGTGACAAAACTTGGCTAAAGGGTCTGTAAGAGAGACAGATCAGGTTTGATCTGGCTCTCTGTTCAAATCAAAAAGAAACAATTCCTAGAATTGCTATGTAGTACATGTGAGCAATTAACATATTTGTGGACCTTGCTGCAAAAAAAGAGGTGGAAGACTTCTTTGCTCCTAAACAGCCATTTTTCTTTGAGTTGGGCATTTAAAAGCTGGTTGAATGCTGATCCTAGGTCATTGAGGAATACTATCCTGATTAATGTTTTGTATTATCTTTAAATAAAATTCTTTTTTTCTTCATCCTAATTTTTGCAATGACAACTCCTAAACACATAGAAACACTTTTATGTATTATTTCCAGCACTGATGTTTAATAAATCTTAGATAAACAGAAGAAAACAAACGTTTAAGAGTGCTTTAGTGGCCCTCTCAAGTTACAGAAATCTTTTTTACACCTTTAATGAGCTAGTATGTTTGATAAAAGAATTTTTTATCAGCAAACTTTTTGCATAAATTTGAATGAACTTAAACATTCAAAATACAGGCATACCTCGACTTACGTCGTTTTTTGACTTAAGTCATTTTCCTGGAACCAATTACCAACGTAAGGCGAGGTATACCTGTATATAGCATTCTACACTTTGATGACATTGTATAAATTAAAATTAAAAATTTTTTAAACATATTTCAAAAATTTACAAATTAAAATGTATTTCAAAATTAAAGATTACAATGTATTTTTTAAGGGATAAACATAACATCCAATCTAAGGATCCAAGTATTTTGTTGTGGTAGGAGAGATCCATAGAATCAATTAGCCATAGATATTGACATAGATAGACTAGTACATAGATATTGTTCATCATGCAAGTTGATCACATTGTTTAACTTGGAGAATCAATTCACTATATATATATATAACTGTTCCAGTATTCTAAGCTTTCAGTACATTTGAGTGTAAAAAGATAATCCAAAAGCACTTTGCCTGCATATGAAAAATCAGTATTGTCCAAGATATTGCCCTTACTTACTGCCATGTATTGTTTATTTTCTTGCCTAGGTTTCTAATGATAGAGTCAATATAATAATAGTTGTGATTCTCTTTAATTGGGCTACAATTTTAAAATTACAGACCTATAAATTCCCACTGGCATATGTCTGTTTGTCTATCTCTGTCCTTTCTTACTCTCAAGAATGGAGTTAGATAGATGAAAGTTGAGACCAGATATGGAAAGCTTAGGATCCAAAGGCCCTGATTAACTATATACAAATTTCNATTAATTTTATGGAAGAAAATCTTTCAAACAGCCGTAGTCCGTAAACTTTACACGTGTCGGGTTGTGATTGGAAGGATTCGTAAGAAAGCGGATTCCTAGAGAATGGAACATATCTCTATCTTATAGGGGGGTCGACTGTATATACAAATTTCTGGAAGCTATGTTATTTCAGTTCAAAAATTTTCTTCAGAACAAAGTTAGATAGATGATTAGCATGACTCACTTGTTAATTAACAGGAAAAGGCAAGACACTGTTAAAATCAAAAGCATTGTGCATCAAGATCTAAAACTTTCAGTCCATCATTATAATATATATATGTCACAATAAATAATTGCTCATTAGTTTTATGTTTTAACACTAATCAGTAAGGAGTATTCCTGGTATGTTGTGTGAATAATTTATCTATCAGGCATCTCATTGCACATAGGTGCCTCGTATAACATACTTAATTCGTTCCAGGTGCACTCCATTAAGTGAAAAGTCTGTTATACGAAACGCATTTTCCCATAGAAATATGTGTTAAAACATATAATTCATTCCTCAGCATAAAATAACCATACTGTACCATAAAAAAAATAAAAATGGAGCTGTCACCAATTATGCCAGGTAGTCATATGTTGTGAAGAGGAGGTGGAGAAACACTTTCTTCTCACATTCATACAGATACAGACTTTTTACACATTGCAACAGGTCTCTTTTTATTGTTAATTATTTTTAATTTTTTTTTTTAATTTTTTTAATTTTTAAAATTATTATAATTTTTATTATTAATTGGAGTCATTTCAGGAGAGGCTACCAGAGCTTGCAGGGTCAGCTCCTCTTGTTCCATCCTTTGTTTTTTGGCAGCTTCTTGAAAAACATGTCCACGGTGGTCTGTTTCTCTCTCTTCTTCAACACCTGTCGGAAATGATGGGCAAGGGTGTCATTGTAGAGATCATTGATCCTGTTGGCCTCAGCTCTGTTTGGATAATGAGTGTTGGTAAACTCCTGAACCTCGCCCCATTTGACAAGGAAGTTTTTGTCAACTTTCACTCCTTCTGATGATTTCTTGCTTTGTTTCAATTGAAATCACCTTTGTTTTTTTAGAAGCTATGATTTGCACAACACTTGAATAAATGTAAATACTCTGCACTGAAGTAATGTATGTAATAAACAAGGGAGCAAGCCGAATCCCAACGGGAGTTCTGTACTTCAGATATACTAATAACATATTCTAATAATACTAATATATTATAAAAATAGCAGATTGTCATTGGCAATGGCAAAAGAGTGGAAACATCATTTGCACTTGTTTGCAGCCAGTCCGTTGCTTGAGTCACGTAACTGCCAAACGGAAAGTCCGTTGTTCACAGCGTCCGTTATTCAAGGCGTACATTATACGAGGCACCACTGCATATTATACATTGTAGGGTGTCTGTTTTGTTGGGTTTATTGGAATTAGCTTTGCACTTCACTTGAGTAATGGAATTTTCTGTATCCTGTGTTTGTTTTTTAATGCTATTTTGATCGAAGTTAGTTCAAATAAATATCTAAAAACATTTTTCCATTACTTCAACTATAGGTTTACTTCAAGTTAGGCTGATCACATATAATGTTTGAATGAGACAGTACTGGCTTTTTTTGCTCTGTCCTGGTGTCTTGTTGTTTTAATAAAATTTTCATTTTTGTTCCATTTTTTTAAAATCAAAGAATTTAGCTTTTTAGTTTTTACATTAAACATATATGTATATTGTATTTTGATTTTGTGATTTGTTAGAAAATATTTATTCTGCATTGATAAGGGTCATAAATTTGGATACTACTGAGGAACAAATGACATGAAATGTGACAATTTGATCAATGGGTGCTAATCTGTATATATAAAATTGAATTCAATTTTTTTTTTGTCTGTCTGCTTGTCAAGTATCACATGAGAATAACTGAAGTGCTCTCTATGAAACTGAACTTATCAAAATTGCTTTATGAATTGCTTATATTGGTAATACTGTACTTCATTTTCACATGAAAAATTCAAGGGAAATGAAGTATTATCAATATAAGCAATTTTGTAGTTTAGTTGGTCACTCTTGGTGAGAATTTTAAAATCACAACAAAAGACATTCTTATACTCACAATTTAATAGTATAATTTTTAATAAAAACAACTAGGCTCCAGTGAAAATGTCAAATACATATTAAATTACTGCTGCAAATGAACAATTAGATTAAACACTACTTATACTAACTATGCAAAAGTACAGTATGTTAAGAATGGTATCTTATAAATATATTTAAGCATTAATCCATATAAGGAAATAATGATAAATTTATTTTTAGTGCGGATCAAGCATTGGATAGGTTTGCAATGAAAAGGTTTTATGATGACAAATTATCTAGAGCAATGCATCCTTCACAAAAAAGGTAATTTTTACATTATGATCTTTTATTTTAATTTTATAAAAAATTGTTTAAAATATTTGTTATTACTTAAAGTGGTAAAATCATGTATTAATTATGTCAATTCTTTGGTTGAAGTAAAAAAGTAAAGTTTGGCATTTTAAAGATTTGATAAGAGATAAAACAAATTTAAATTGATTAAGAAAAGCTTTAATTTTTTAAGATAAGCCTACATATCCTAAAACTTTGGCTATGCATCATGGTTTATACAATGTTATATTCATAAAATTCATCATGTTCAGTATATGCACAAGGGTCTAACACATGAAAAACCTAAGTATCATAATGAACTATGTGAAAATTTTATAAAAACTCCTAAATAAGCAACATAAAAAAGAAGTCACATCAAACTAATATAGATCAAATCAAAACAGTTGAAAATATACAAATATTCCAATATTTGAAATACTTTCAGTCCCAATCATTTCAGATAAAGGATTTTCAATTTATAATATATTCTATCTCTGAATAAAAATTGGTATACAATAAATGCTTTTAATTTTAAAAAAAAATGTTTATTATATATTACATTATTTAAAACAAGTTATATTGATTCTATAAATTCATTAATATTCTATATATGTGATAAAATCTGAAAAAGGTACCTAAGTTGGAAAATAAATTTTTACTTAAAAAATGTAAAAAATATACAATATTGAAGACATATACAAAAAATATTGCACTCTTCTTTAACATCCTTTCACAATCACTGGAATACTGTTTATGTTCTAGTAATTCCAGTGGAATACACATTGGTGGAGTCGACTTTCCCTTATAGGCTCTTTCCAGTCTATATTTATGTAAATTGGTTTAAGATAGATTTTTTTTTACATTTTTTACATATATTTCATCTTGGATTTTTAGCATTTTTTTTCTTTACAATGTCAATTTTTATTTTATTGAGTTTATCTTATTTTATAGATTAAGTGAGTATATAAAAGGACCTTTACAGTTTAAAATGTTGCCAGACATTATTCTAGATACATTTGGTGTTGAAATCTAAAAAAACAACTATTTTATCCTTGTTTAAATCACACTTTTTTTACTCTACAGCAAAATTTACTTCTCTGACTTAAGATACCTTTTCATAGATTGCATCATATATATTCAGATGCAAAGTGAAAGCAGTGGAATAACAGATGCAATTCTGTATTCTATTTAGTCCATGATACCATATTTCGCTGAAAATAAGACCTAACTGGAAAAATAAGTTCTAGCATGATTTTTCAGGATGCTCATAATATAAGCTCTACTCCTAAAATAAGCCCTAGTTAAGATCATCAGCTAGATGATCATATTTAATATGTTTGTTGCAACCCACAACAGATGTATTGAATTATAGAATAATAATATTAACATATAATTAAATATAAATAAATATTATTATTGAAATTACATATAAGAGGTAAATTCTTATATGTATTATTATTGACATTATTACTTAATTATAATTTATATTACCATTTATTTTAATTATTTGTAAATACCCATGTGAATGCCTTTGGACAAGATATCCCCTGAAAATAAGACCTAATGCATCTTTTGAAACAAAAATTAATATAAGACCAAGTCATATTTTTGGGGAAACATGGTATTATTATAATAATATATTAGGTTGTAATAATGATTTAAATGAATATCATAAATTTAGATATAACACAAAACTACCTCTCTAAGCTACACTGAATTTATTCAAAAAATCAATTTTTGGATAATACATTACATAAACTGTCTATAAGAAAATTTAGGTGTTAGCAAATATCTCTTTATTAATGTAAAACACTAATTTCATAAAGCTGTCAAAACAAAATTCAATACGGCTAGTGTTGCCACCAGACTGGTTTTCACCTGGACAAGCTGGTTTTTAAATTCATGGTCCGGATTGATTATTAATTTGTCTGGTTTTTGTATAAATTGTGAAATTATGATAAAATAAATTTATAAAAATATTTGCGAGTATTTTATTGTAATGGTTAAACACTTTAACTTTACACCCCCACCCAAACTTATCATCATCTTATCCCTATGCTAAGAGTGACAGAAAATGTACTTTTAATATTCTAGCTTGCAAATATCTCTTGCAAATATTAGGTCTGTTCCAACACAAGTCCCTAACTGGTTTAAAACTGGCATATGCATTATTCAGTTCTTGGCTATAAAATGACATTGCGCAAGCCTCGTATGGTTTCAAATTCAAACCAGTTGGGGACTTATGTTGGAAATAACCTATTGTCTGGGTCACAATTTTGAAAAGGTGGCAACACTAAAGATGGCTACCATAAACAAAGAACTCCACTCCAAATAGAAATATGAATTATGAGAAAATAAGTATTCTCCAATTTAAATTAAAAAACAAAATGCTAAAATAAACTTTAGCTACTGCCAAACTCCTTTTCTTCCTACTGTGGCAAAAGAGAAAAAAAACTAACGTTTCTGCTAGGTGAAGAATATAACTTTTAAGCCACATGATGCTACAGGAAAGCTAGATTTAGCAAATTCTCTACTCAGTTGGCAACTCTGATTTCATTGGTTTACTTATCAGCTATATTAAAGCTATTTTTCCAAACAATATGCTAAAAGGATTCATGGTATTTAATAAACTTAGGTTGGTTGGCACCTCTGAGTTTGACTATTTTAACTTAAGGAGGGACAATGTTGAGATACATGAAATTTTGTTTGACTTAAGGATAGAAATATGCAGGTATTCACCAGGTTCAACAATCCAGTTTGACTTAAAGAGGGATTCAAGATTACAGATTTTATCAAATACCACATACACACATACACACTATTTCTTGTTTTGGATTTAGTAACAGTTGCTAAATATTACCTTTGTGGCTGTTGGCCATATCTACATAGTATTTTTAATTGTATATAGTTATAATTCCAATCTTTTTTTCCCAATTTCTTCTATTCCCTTTGTCTGTTCCTTCTAGAACCTTCCAAACGACCGTTATTGCCTTTGGGTAGCATTAGCTGTTCTGAGAATCAGAAGTGACAATAATGGGTAGGGTGGACTGAGGAAAAATAGCGAAGAGACAAGTCACTTTTTGGACTAGATACAGAGAAAACCAGACGTGTTGAAAGAGGCTCCGATCACGACTTTGTGAAGAGGGCAGAAGACTGGTAGAGTCCAGCAAGGGACTGAGAAAAAACTACATTATAAGAATAGGCTTGTGGATACTTCGGAATAGGTCAAGAATCATAATAAGGAAGTGGAATCTCTACACTGAGAGATTGAGGGGCTGGCGTATTTGAGAGTGTCAGTAGAAAAAGAGAAAGAATAGAGGAGACAAAAGGCACCTTCTTCAGAGAAGAAGAAAAGGAATGGAAATCCTACCCAAAGCGAGCAACAACTGACAGGAAAGAAAGACCTGGGTGAAATCATCCCTTCATTTCTCATACTTTCCTGCTGTCCTATCTTTCTTATTATTTCCTTAGTATTAAGTTAATTTTAAGTTAGGATTAAGGTAGTTCTAGTTACGTGGTTATGAAAAAAATAATTGTTACGTGCCCAGATTACTATATAATTGTGCCTTGTTAAGGAAACATAGAGTTCTCTGTTTAATATACCTCTTTGTAAGAACGAAAGCAATCCAAATCAGTTGGGATTCCTTGTATAGAACCGATTGTTCAAAATGTAATAAAGAGGCAGAGTATATTCCTGTAGTTGTTGTATGTTCCTTTCTGTACATTTCATACGCAGATCGTACTGTCTCACTTATACGAGCACCACACCTTAAGCATTTTAGTAACCATGTTTTTTTTTCCTTTCAAAATATTGTCATTAGTGTTTCTTTGTTCCTTATTTCTTGACAAAAACATAGCAAAGATAGACAATTGTTCATTCATTGAAAGATCACACCTCATTTGCTTTTTTGTCAGCTCCAATTAACCCATGCTATGTGTTGTGACAAAAAGAGTGGCTCAGTTCATTTCATTCATTTTTATTGTGTCAGTCACAATAACACACTTAAATTGTGGAAACTCGTAAGACTTATTGGTCTCACTAATTGTGAGTGTAGGTGGTCCACCACGTGGGGAAGAGAGACAAAGAAACCAGTTTGTAATAAGTTTATAGAAATATGACCAAATACATATATTTTCATACAATTATAACAACGGTTCACAAGATACAATTATAACGACGGTTCACAAGATACAGTTATAACGACGGATCACCAGATACAATTTTTTTTTCACACACAAAAAAAAATTCTCACCGTTACAGTTCTATAGTCCTTGCTGTTACACTCGTTGTAATCCAATCTAATTCAGGAACACACCAAAAAAAAAACAAGTCCACAGCAGAAGGAGCACCACGTGTTCCCTGACTCCTCTATCGATCCACGAGGTAAGAAGAATAATCCCCTTTCTGGTCCATGGCCTTAAATACCTCCCTTACACCTTCCCCAAGTTGCCACCCCTTTTTCCCCACAGCTGAAAAGTAGCCAAAAAAGCAAACAAAAAAAAAAGCTATACGACACATATAAGGCAGAGGGCTGCAACCACACAAAATATATAGAATTTTTCTTATTGAGCAACTGTGAGTACTATGTACCAGTTAGCTATACTTTTTATGCTATCTGCTGGTATGGTGTACTGGCATGTTCCAGCTGAAAAGTAATCCTGATTTTGCTTAATAATTACCATTTAAATAATTAAATAAATAAACATAAATGAAATACATTTTGTGTAATATTTATAAATTTATTTATTAATTTTAATAGGTATATTCACTATTTTGCTGGGCTGCTTTCTGGTGCAATTAGAATGAACAATAGTACACTTTATTTGCATCACATTATCATACATGGTGTGCCTAATTTTGATTCCAAAGGAGGTAATTAAATTTTAATATTATTAGTATTATTTATGAGCTTATTTCAACTTTTTACTAAAGAAGTAGAGTAATTAAAATGATTCACTTTAAAGACAATATAAGTATGATCTTATCATTAATTTAAATGACAGATTTATTACTATATTATAATTAATACTTATTATTTATTTACATTTCTCAGGCTGTAGACCTTTTGTAAAGATATATCAAGGGATGCATCCTATTTATACCTCAGGAGTGTAGTATGTATTTTAAATTAAAAGAAAAAGTATTTAAACTTTGCATTGCTTGTAATATTTTGAAATTATATTTTTTCAGCATTGTTACAGAAAGGTCAAGAAGAATTATTATAACTGTAGAACCTTCAATTCAGTTAAGAGGAGATATCTTAGTAAAATGCTATCATAAAAAACAACGTCCTGCAGGTCGTTCTGTTATTTTTAGGGTTCAGTTTCATACATGTACCTTAGATAGTGATCGTCTTGTCTTTTTAAAAGAAGAACTTGATGATGCAGCATTTGGTAAGATTTTTGTTTTAAATTATATATATATTATTAATATATATATGTGTGTGTGTGAGGACCCAAATGGGGTCCGAAGGAAGGCAATTAACGACTTTTTGAATGAGTCAAGTTTCGTAGCGTGAAAGGGCGAACTTAAAGATCGAATTTAAACAATGAACCTTTTGTCTTGTTAAAAGATTTTAAACAATAGATAGAGTAAAGTCGAGGAAAACAAGGTTGGAGAGGAGTCATGTTCCAACGCGATGTTGACCTCTCCCACACCCTTCATTGGGTTTTGAATTATCACCATGTGACAAGGACCAATGGAGAGGCGACTGCGGTGGAAAAATCGATAAAACTGCGTTTTCAGGAACTTTGTGAGGTCTTGGGTTTTGGTGTGTAGTGCTCCCCTGCTGGGATTTGGTGCTCACGACAGAGATACAACGTAGGTTCTTTCAATGCCCTAAGAGCTGGTTTAGCCGACCCATCATGTCCAGAACCGCCGAGGTCACGTCCAGAATCGTCGAGGTTCGACTTGTCGACCGAGGACATCTCTACCAGTGCTGGTGCATGCCCCGGGGCCATCATTCTCTTCGTCCGGCATGCTGAAAATACCCAAGGACCGACCAAACAGTTGAACTTTTCTATTTTTATTGGAACTGTTATAGTAACCCATCGTTGGATAGGCTTTCGCCTGACATATTGAATTATTAATTGAATTATTAATTATAACATACATAAATTATTGTAAGAATAATTTATGTATGTTATTAAATGGTTTTATATGGTAAACCTGTCTCAGAGAGTCATTCTGCGCCCAAAAGACAGAATTGACCGCTCTGCTGTCGAAATCTCCTCACCCGAATCGGCTAACATCACATACAGTGGAACCCCGATTAACGAACTTAATCCATTCCGCGACTCTGTTCGTTAACTGAATTGTTTGCTAACTGAAGCAATTTTTCCCATAGAAATTAATGCAAGTGCAATTAATCTGTTCTAGTCTCCAAAATTTTTTTCATTTTATTTGTAATATACAGTAATTTTCTTTGATGAAAATGTAGGAAAACGTAATATCTATCATTACAGCAACAAACATGTAAACTTTGTTTAATAAAATAGCACTGTATATACCTTTGTTTGTTGTAGTTGGTGGCAGAAAAGTGGAGATATATGAACCTTAATGCTTAGAAGGGGAATCTCCTCAAAAAACAATGGATAGCACTTCATCGGAAGCTTCTTTGAGTCAAATTCTCTTTTGATAAAAAAAAAAACCATCAGCGGCTACATGGTCTTCGTACCTTGAACACAGGGAGTTTGTTTGTGGGTTCGCATCTCGCTCAGACAGACTGGCCACGTGGAGTTTTCTGGGTTTTCTCCATGTCTGTAACGCGTAAATAGGGGCCAGTTTCACTTAAAAACACCTCCCAGAAGGCATTTCCTTAGGCAGATCGCCCAAGTGTTGCGTTGCCATAACTTAACAAACAAACAAACTCTTCCTGTAAGGAACAAGAAATTGATCTAAAGTTGATTGTCTTACTCTTTTAATCAACATTTTTCTCAAATGTGATAGTGCATTATCGTTTATATTGCATTGTCGTTTTCTATTGCCACTATGACTTTTTTCTTTCTTGGATGCCATATTGATTAAATATATAAATCACAAAACTGGAAAAAGAAGTATAGCACAAACACTCGGAAAAGCAATGCTTAACTCGCGCATGCCTAACACCAACTAAAATTTGACACGAAATACCGTTACATTCGTTATCCGAATTTTGTTCATTATCCGAGACAAAATTTTTGCAAAATAAAAGTTTGTTAACTGATTTGGTCGTTAACCAGGACGTTCATTAACCGGGGTTCTACTGTATATATATTTATATAAGAAGACGTACTAAATGGTATTATATAATTTTAATATACAGTCAATCCTTGACTTTACAACCTCTTTACGTGGTGATGACTTATCTGTGATGGCAGCAACTAATATATTAAGAAATTAGTTTTGGGTCCCGATGATTGATTACACTCACTAATTGCATAGTTTAACAATTAAATACTGTAATGAGTAAAAAATTATAAACAATATAACAATAACATCTAAGTTTATTCAAATATTACTATGACTGTAGTCTATGCCATTAATATCCAAAAAGGGAAAAACAAAACTTTCTGAGGAGCTGATCAAAGATTATTATTCTAAATTAATTTTATAATAAAGTTAAAATGAACTAATAATAAATTAAATAAGCAGTAATTAATAATAGTAATAATAATAATAATAATAAATACTCATTTACTACCAAACTACATTTATTCAATTTCTACACTCTCAGACATTCATACATTAGTTTATGCTGGGGCAGTCACAGTAGTAACATACCATGGAATGAAAATACAATTGCAGACAAACACATACAAAACACAATTCTATCACAAGCCTGCCTGGCAGAGAAGAATAGAAACACAAATAAATGACATTAGACAGCAATTAGGCAGGCTGACACAATACACTAAAAACAACATAACACCCAAATTAAAGAAACAACTCAAAAACATTTTCAAGAAAATCAAAACACACACAA